CGTATTGGACTTATTGCAGATAACTTATCCGGCAGAAAAACGAATCCTTCTTTAAAACCATACAAAATATTCCGCAGTAATAAAATCATGCATTTAAGAAGGAAAAATAACATAATGAAAAATTGTTTTATTGTCAAAGGTGAAAACTCTATATATTATATAAGATAAATTATTATTTGGTAATAAACCAACCATAATTAATATTATTGTTTCATCTAGCGCTGGAAAAAATTTAATGTACAACCGTTGCAACAATCATATAATAACTATATATTATAGGTAATATATAGATATAATAATAAAGTTATTTTTCTTCTTTCTTTACAATTATTGTTGGCTAAAATGAAAAGAAAGAAAAAATAATCTTACTATTATAAATATATACGAGAATAGTATATTTTCTCGTATATATTTATAATCCCCCTAAATATGGAGTGAAACGGTTGTATTAAAAAAAAACATTCATAGCGTTTACCAACAAAAAAAAACATTCATAGCGGTGGTGGTGGGTTCCCTATTACAGTATTACCGCGGGACCGAATTTAATTTAGAGAAAATGAATCCGACCAACTATCGAGTTCGGTGGTCATCCATTTTCAAATTATAGGATAGCACTTGAGCATGTTTGGTAGGAGGATTATTTTTAAATATTTGAAAAGGTGAGGATAAATTTCTTAGAATTTCAGGTTTAATAATACATTAGTGAATATTTTTTACGGAAAGTTATTTTTTCGGTATTGAGTTTTGTGTGTATTTTTTAAACCAAAGTACTGTCAAAAAATACTATCCAAAAGATGATATTTCAGGAATTCTAAATAATGGAGAAATATGGATTAATTTTTCAGATAAAAATAATTAAACACAATATCAGAAAAATTAATCCAATATTTTTGAGAGTATTTTGACCTACTAAACAATTCTTTTGATAACATTTCGAAAAATTCACTATTCCTCATATTTCCTGAAAACGTAATTCTCAGATAATTTTTTTTTTCTCCATTACGTGAGATTTCCAATTCCACCTAGTAACCGTACATGTGCGTTCATTGTTAGATGTGGTGGGAATCACCAACCTTTTTTAATTTAAAACTATATTTTTTATATTTTATATATATAGGGAGATTTATAATTTCTTAAGTTATTTGAGATAACTAAATCATAACCATAAGAATAAATTAATGGTAATAAAAGAAAAAAGAGAAAAAGAAAATTATAACCATTCAAAAATAAATCCATTAATATACGGAAATAAATAAACAAAATGACATAATTTTTGGTTAACGGATATAAATATATCTCAAATTACTTGAGAAATATTTCTCTCTCTGTATATATGTGTGTATATTATATATTAAATAAAAAATATTTATTCTTTTAAATAATATAATTTTGTGTCATTGTAACTAATATAATATCATTTTTGTGTTATATTGTAATTTTTTATATTTTCTTTCCTCCATAAATTAGGAAGAGAGAGAGAGAGAAAGTGGAGAAGAGAGAGTATAAAAAGTTATCAATTATATAACAAAAGGAGATTGTTTCATCTAAAATGACATAAAATTATATCTTTTAAAAGAATAAATATTTTTTCCATATTAATAATAAAAAAATAACACTTCTATCGTCTTTTATAAACAGATCAGGCATTAGTGACATGCACGCCATTAACTTATATTATATATTGCGAAAAACCACTAGGGTTACCACTAGTGTTGTGTGTTCTAGTCGAGAAAATTTTGGATACATTAGATGTAGGTATATTTATTTAATAGGGAAATTTTTTAGGATTTAAAGAAATAATAAAGAAAAATAAGGGTATAAATATAAAATAATTTCCTTATTTGGTAAAAAAATGTACAAAGTTGATACATCTAATATATTAAAAATAATTCCGATCTAATCATTCCTCGTGTATTAAAAAACAAATTATATATAGCGAGAGAGAGTCTAATAATTTTATATCAGAAAGAAGGGGTATTCGCAGTCTGGATTAGATCGGTTTTGTAAGCAAAAATCATTCGATCTAATATCCTTCGGTTTGATCATGTAATCATCCATTCGGTTTGGATTTTTTTTTAAATCCGATCCGATCCAATCTAATTTTTTTCGGTTTGGATTGTATCGATTTTTGGTTTTTTGAAAATTCTAAAATTAGTTTCATGATTATTGTGCAAATAACATCTTTTGCGTATACTCGCATTGTAAATTATTATTATTTTTGAAATACAAAAGCATTAGTAAATGATAATGTAGCTTTTTTTGGTGGGCAATGAGATATGAAGCTCTACACGTATGAAATTTTGTTGATTAGATGTGACTAGATTTTTTCTTGGATTTAGTTGATGGGTCTTGGGTTTAGAAATTTCTGGACTATGATTAGGGAATGCTCAAATAGGTAGAGGGAAATTAATATATTGGATCGGTTTTCATCAACCAATTCGAAAACCGATTCAATCCAATTAAAATTTGCGGTTTTTTTTATTTTCAATTTTTCGATTTATTCGATTATCGATTTTTCGGTTGGGTCACCGCGGTTTGAATCGGTTTGGATCGGTTAATAAACACCCCTATCAGAAAGTTACACTTTCATTTGATTAACAATGACTAGCAAAATGTTATAAAAAATGGAGTTTAGTTTTTATACATTGTTAATATAAACTTTTACATTACTTATATTTTATTATATGTTTTTGTACTATTAATAGATTGATTTTATTTCATTTATTCTAGTCGTATTTAATATTTTATTATATACTCTTATACTATTAAACTCATCTGTGTTTGAAGTTTGAACTTCTATCTATAGGTATATTATGTTTTTAAGCTTATCGTTTCTCAAGTTGTTTGAGATAATTTTATCTCCGGCTAGTAAATTATAATCGTACAAAGATGAATTAATGGTGATAAAGGAAGAGAGAGAAAGAGAATCATAATCATTCAAAGGTAAATCAATTAATATAAGAAAATAAATAAATAAAACGACATAGTTTTGAGGTAGTCAGAAATAAACTTATCTCAAGCTACTTGAGAAATATTTTTCCCTTTTACAAAAGGTAATGTTTTCCTTTTTTTACATGATATAAGCAATTTTCCTACACAAACACAAAAGTGGGCCCATCAGTTCTTTTACTTTTTATTTTTATTTTAAAAACAATGAATCCCATAATTGGTTGTCTCTATGACATGATCTAAGAATTTTTCCTCCAACATAATATTTGTTTTTCCCTTTATAAAATGGGCTCAATGAACAATGTAATTTTTCCTCCAACATAATATTTGTTTTTCCCTTTATAAAACGGGCTCAATGAACAATGTTGTACTTTCACCAAAAGTCCATATAATTATAGGAAAAATATTTATCCAGTTATTGAATCTAAAGTTATCTCTAGTGTGTTCAAAACGATGTCATTTTGAATTATAAGATTAAAAAACTACAATGATATAGACTAATATAACCTGCAATATATTAGATTACAAAAATACCTTGATTTTCGTCCCAAAATGACATCATTTTGGACTCACTAGAGATAACTTATCTCCATTGACTGGAAAAACCTATTACCCTATAATTATATGATTTATTATGGGTTTAGAATCACACACATGTGATTTATTATGTATTTTTTCTACTTAGTATTTCCTTGAAAAATAATTTTATTAGACTATTTTAAGAGAAAAAAACTTCTCATGTTGCATGAGAAATATTTTCTTATATTGTGATCCTATTTTTTTAGTAAATGTGAAGCTCACCACTAATTGATAGAATAATTCCCATGCAACATAAGAAAATCAAATTTCTTATTTTAATTATGAGTTTTATAAGAGTTATGTTGTAGGAAAAGTGATTGTGTAATGGTATAGAGATTCGTTTTGCGTGCCGTAGTTTTTTTCTTCTTCAAAAAGTGTGGGTCCCACAAAATGTTATGTGTGTAAGAAACTTTGTTGTGTCATGTTAAATGACAAACGCAAACCCCTTATATATATAATTAAAATGGGATGAAATAGTGAATTGAGAGGGGTGTTTGATGGATAGGATTATTTTTGATTTTATATGTTTTGTGCTGTAGGAACAACAAATTTATTCAAAGGTTTAATAGGGTATATATATTCCCAGTTTTGTCTAGTAATTCACCATTAGTTTTATTTTTACCTGGGACAAAGAATATCTTATTTTTAAACAAATTAAACCAACGCATTAAATTTAAACCCAGAATAAGTGTGCTGAAATATGGTGAAGGGCCAGATAACACGCGGTCCATTATAGATGGAAACTAAAATTATTGATATGTTATAATGTCAACATCGTCTCTCTTGATAGCTACCCATTGAGAATCTAAGGAGGAAGTAGAAAGAAAGTTTATTTTTAAATGTATACACTGCATGACTTTTTTTTTTAATAATTTCGATTGAAAGTAATTAATATCAAATACATTAAAGACAAGAGGCATCTCAAAACCTAAGTCAATGTACTGTGAATAGCTAGAGGCTTAATTTCCTAAACCTTTAAACCAATTAAATTGTTTGTAAAATAATTCCAACAATTAAATTGTAGCATTACTGGGTTTATTTAATTGATGTGAAATGGTATTCAAATATTGAATTAATTTGGGATAGAATCTACTGCGCTGTCAAATTTTTGTGATTATTATTAAAATGATTGATTTTATTTCAATTATTCTAATCATACTTTTTAAATAAATTAAACAATATCCACACAATTTTTAATTTTTCTTGGCGTTAAGGTCCAGACTTATTCTCTTGATTCTTGAACATGCACCGCATTTATTTTTCATATATAGATTGTGACGCGGAACGCCACCTAATGTCAGGCGAAAATTGATCATCATACGAAATCACAATTCATATAATACCCTCGATTATTTCGTTATGACTAAAATATCCCTCACCAACGAAACATGTCATCTTATAATTGGAGCCCTAGTGGGTGTCATGAATGTGAACAGAATCAGCGAAAGAGAAGCATCATCATCATCATCTCCTTTTCCTTCAAGTTCTGGGCTAACTCCGTTTCTTCCCTCCACGGACGCAGTGGATCTGCAATTGTGAAAAAGCAAACGCTACCAAATTGAGCCACGTAAGCAACTATCACAGGAGGCTACAAATCACAGGTTCTTATGCCATTGCTTTTTTTCTTTTCTTTTCTTTTTTAATACTTTCATACACTCTCTGCCTCATTTTTTTTTTTAATCTTCAATTTCCCTTGTATATTCTGAATGGAGCGTATGCATTTGAATTTCTGCGTTGTAATTATGTGTATGCATGCTTCTTTTTGAGTCGTGATTATTGACAGGCGGAAACAGATGATATGGCAATGTAAATGGTGTGGATATTTTGGATATAGATACGTCATTTGGATATTTATTTGGGATAATTGGAGATCTTGTTGAAATAAATGAATCTCTGAACTATTGAATTATACTGATCCTTTTAGACAAAGACATCGTTTGATTTTTCCTTATAATGTCTGTCTTCCGTTTATATATCCACAATGAAATAAATGTGCGTGAAACGTTGGTTTGGATGGAAATAAAACCTTTTTGGCTTAATAAAGTTTTGATTCAGCTGAATGGGCAACTGTAAGTTTGCTATTCTGGTTGAGTGTGCACATGACAGAGGTATGAATCTGGAGTATGATTACGAAGGTGGGTATGTACTGGGGACTTAGGTTCGTAATTCAAAGTAACGTGGTTGTGCATATAAACATGGGCATGCTAAGATTAAGGCACTTCTTTTATAGGATACTGAAGTACAGCTCCATCAATTTCAGTATGTTCTTTCTATTTTTCGTATCTTTATTTGTCTTTCTGATTCATTCATTCTTATACTTGCATAGATAAGCCTCAAGAACAACCAGAATTACTACCGTTACTGTGTGATGGATGTTTCCTGAATGTATAAACGAAGTCGAAGATATGTATTTTCTGTAGCGTGTAAGATCAGATGAAAGGAGGAAATAATTATACCTTTAGGGGGAGGCATATTTCCCTAGCTCTGGTTGGTCTTGTTCTTTTTACCACAATACTGTGGACATGGGAGAGAAATCCAATAGCGACTACTTTAAGATCAGCTCAAGAATGGTACCACATACCTTCAGGTTTGTTTTCCAGCCAGATATACATAATGACATTAATCATTTATTCTCTCCTTCTCTTGTCTTTTTGTACCTTGGTTTGAATTTGTGGGTTTGAAAACAATTTGTGCTGTATTTCAACTTTTGTTGAAAAAAACTAAATGGAAGCTGCTTCAAGTGTAGATAAACTTTTTTGATAGAAAAGGAAGATCTTACTAGGAGGAAGGAGAACATAATATGTGGATGAATAATATTCTAATAAAGAAAATAGAAAAACTCACTTCATCCCCCAAATATCTCTCTGGATACCCACTAGTTGAATTTCCTCAAGAATATATATATATATATATATATATATATATATATATATATATATAAAAATATATAAAAACCCAAAATTGTTGAGGATTTTGATGTTGATGCCTGTACTTTAGGAAAATGTCCATATTGATAGTAATACCTTAAAATAGTTCTGGAATTTTATATTGGCCATCTTGTTGTATGCACTTCTTGAACTTATATTAATGCCATAGGGATCTTTTTATCCATATGATGAAACATAACTTCCAAATAATCATTGCTTTTGGCCTTGCTTGTATCACTCAAAGATGCTTATCGAAAATCTGCGGTAAAAAATAAACACTGTTAATTGCATATGTATGTGTGTCAATTTCCCTAATGAATGTTGAACAAGATTGATATTTGCAATTCTTTTACCCCTTGCAGGATCTGATTTTCACTGTTCCATTGACTAATAATTTGTTGATTCCTACTTCTTGTTGGTTGTGTAACCGTTTAATGTTTGTGTTCTGTAAATAACTTTTCATTAAACTGCTATTTTTTTGTTATTAACTGTACTGATGATTTTTTCTATAAATACATCTGCTTAGAATTTCCTGCGGAAGTGCCAGTTGATTCAGTTGGAGCTACAAAGCTTGACAAAGGCATGGAAAAATCCTTAATCCCCATCAGAGAAAATAAAACAGAACCGAAACTTGATTTTGAGGGTGCAACAGCTGCAGATTCTATACCTGCAGAATCTCCGGAAATTCAATACAATCAAGATGTCAGGTCTTCTTCCAGAAGTGAAGGTAGATTCTTTTTATTTGTTCTTAAATTCATTACAATGAACTTTTTCTGCTACTCTATGAATCCATCCCTATTATCATCATTATTCTGCAATTACATGTTTTTTGGGCTATTATCTTTATATTGTTCTTTCTAAGAATGTGGGTGCACAGCTTATTTGGCTAGTGAGTACTGCTATACTGCACAGAGACACACAAAATAAAAGACATAATATAGCTATATTTAAGGGTGGTTGTTTGCTAAGACAAACAAAGAGATGGGAACCACTCATCAAACCTAGAGAGTAGACAATAAGCATGCCATTTTATTCTGGTTCCCATTTTATCAAACTATTTCTGGCTGAGTAGCTCTTTCCTTAGCTATTTAACTATTATTACTTGCTTAAGTGGAATTCAAGTTGGGGTAATAACCTGTTAGGAACCTAAATATATTCTAGGTTTAGAGAGAGACATGAGAAAAACAAAGAAGGGAAAAGGGAAAGAATAATACTTTTGTATTGTTTTATTGAATTACAAATAGTGACCTAATGAGAGAATTCTTCTTCCAAGAAGGGCTTTCCCTTCACAAAGGGTTTCCCTTTTTTACAGCAAAGCTAATGCTCAGTTCTTAAATGTTAACAAATCTGAATGCCCTCTCTTCTACTCTCTCATTTAAGCTATTTCCCTACCTCTAGCAATTTTTAACTGGCCAAACATAGCTATTCTAACTAACTACTTCTCTCTGGCCCCATCACAACGTAAAGTTGGTTTCTCTTCAAGCATTCTAATGTCTTAACTCTATGTTCTCTTGGAATTGGTTGTTTCCTCTTGAATCATAAGTTTGTCTGAATAGAACAATTTGTTTTTCTTCTTTCGCTGTGTATTATTACTTCACAATCATGTGTAGGTTCTTTACATCTTGACAACTGACCTCCATGGATTGTTGCAACCTCAGCCTAACAGTTAAAGTCTGCTTTCAAATCTTTAACTTTGTTAAATAACTATATATAGTTTGTGGTAATACTTTGATGTTTGAGATGTTAAAGAAAAGAAGGAAAAAATTATTGTTGCAAGTTATTGGATCGAACGTTTACCACTGGGCCAAAAACTATAGCTATTAGTTAGGGCATAACTCTTTCTACCTGTCTTTACCGGCTCAAGTGCCATGGTTTGATCTGACTTCGACCCATACCAGACCTTGCCAAAGCAGGATGTTTGCTTCACCAACATGAGCCTTTTCCTTTGTTGCAACATGTCCATTGGTGCAATCTAGACTTTCTAACAAGTGACCTTGTGCATGGACAGTTGCCATAGGGCTCCAACTAATGCACCAGAAATTTAGCAAATATTCTGCAGATTATATGTTTTGTACTGGTTGCATATGCTTAAACCTTGTATCTACATCCTTCATGAAGTTCATTGGCCGAATTTAGTGGTGATTGGTTTTCTCCTTTGCAGTTTGTAATTATGCCAAGGGTAGGTGGGTTGCAGACAATAGAAGACCACTGTATTCTGGGTTCAACTGTAAGCAATGGTTATCCTCAATGTGGTCATGTAGAATGACACAACGACCAGATTTCTCATTTGAGGGATACAGCTGGCGGCCAGAAAAATGTGATATGCCAGAGTTTGATCGATCTATATTCTTGAGAAAGTAGGTATAATCCTTTCTTTTTCTTTGATCTTGTTTACAACACTTGCATATTTCAGCAAGATTATTATCTGGCTGCTATGTTTATTCAATGGTCTGTCTGTGATGGTGCTAAGTTTTCTGATTTGATGTTAACATAAATAACATTGCATCATTTAATTTCCATTTCAATTATATATTATTTTGATGACTAAACCTGAAATTTGATAATTGGTACTTTTTGTATTTTTGTTAAAAATCAAAATTTGTAATCTTTTTTGTCTTCATTTTCTTCTGTTTTCCTTATGGTTTTAAAATAAAATAAAATCAGAAATACATGAATATCAATTTAGATAACAGTTTGGGAGCGGTGTTTAATACTAATGTGGAATGTAGGATGCAGGACAAAACAATTGCATTTATTGGAGATTCGTTGGGCCGGCAACAATTTCAATCTCTAATGTGTATGGCCACTGGCGGAGAACAGAGTCCAGAGGTTCAAAACGTGGGATGGGAATATGGTCTGGTCAAACCCCGTGGAGCTATTCGTCCTGATGGCTGGGCTTACAGGTTTCCCAAGACTAATACCACCATCTTATATTATTGGTCAGCTAGCTTATGTGATCTGGAGCCCCTTAATGTTACAGACAAACAGACCAACATTGCCATGCATTTAGACCGCCCACCAGCTTTCATGAGAAGGTTCCTCCATCGCTTTGATGTTTTGGTTCTTAATACCGGACACCACTGGAACCGGGGGAAGCTTAATGCAAACAGGTGGGTAATGCATGTTAATGGAAAGCTAAATGAAGACAAAAAGATTGCACAAATTGCAAATGCCAAAAACCTTACAATCTACAGTGTAGTCAGATGGCTTGATTTGCAACTCGTCTCACATACCCGACTCAAAGCTTTCTTTAGGACTATCTCACCTAGGCATTTCTTCAATGGAGATTGGAACACTGGTGGAAGCTGTGATAACACTATCCCATTAACCAATGGAAGTGAGATCTTACAGCAAGGATCCAGTGATCCAATCATTGAGGGTGCACTAAAGGGCACAAAGATTAAGATACTAGATATAACTGCTATTTCGCAATTGAGGGATGAGGCTCATATGTCGCGCTACACTATCAGAGGAACTCTTAATTCCAGTGACTGTTTGCATTGGTGCCTACCTGGAATTCCAGATACGTGGAATGAACTCCTTGTTGCTCAGATATAGGCTCACTCACAGTTTAGTCATCTCTCTCCCGCTCCCCTTTTAACCTTTAGGAAGGAAATACATAGGCTCACAAAAGCATTGCTGGGGGATCATAATCTGTCTATTTTTTGTGGTCTAGGAAGACCAATTATTATTTTCTGTCAAATGTATCTCATTTATTATTTTCTTACTGAATAGGGTTGTAGAGAGATAATAATATAGTTCCGCTTTGTCTCATTTTCAGTGCGAGCATTGAACAGAGTCCAGAAAAAACATAACTTCACGAACGAGGCATGAGCTAAATACCATATACATGTCAGATTTGTGGTGGTGACTTGGTCATTATTGAACATTTTAAAATGGTTTTATTGGGGTCAAGAAGAAAATAAATGGTCTACTCATTTTCATCAGACCTCTCCTCCTCAACTCATCCATCGGGGCAATCAATTTATGTGCACAATATATGTTAAAAAATAAGAAAAAATATGTTCTGTTGTATTAAAATTTTCTTTTTCATTTTTCTCTGCACTTTCAGCGTCTTATATACAATTGAGAAAAACTGTAAGAACCAAAAGAATAAAGAATTAATTGACCAAAATTAAAAAAAAAAAAAAACCAAATTTCTGATCATTTCTGGTTGAACCACTACGATTTACGATACGATAAATGAAAAAATAAATAAAAGAATATCATGCTAAGTGATTCTACTTAATTTTTTTTTCTTGTTTGATGGAAATACAGCACATGCTAACACTCCCTCTCAAATAGCTGAAAAGAAATGTCTGATACCCAACCCAACTTGATGAGTGAATTTTAAAAACTTTATTTGACACCGCCTTATAAAACATGCCAACTGATTTTCATACCCAAAAAAGGTTAACTAACCTTCGGTATGAACCAACAATACATTTGTCATCTTGACATGCCCATGAATTGCACGAATTCATTATAAAGTTTAGGATAATCCAAATTGACATCAGATTTACCAATGAAAGTCCCTTAAATGATTTTTTGATGTTTATTAACCTTTTATCACAGTAACTTTGTATGTTGGACCTGACCATGGCCAATAAAACCCATAAACGGCCCTAAATTAAAAAAAAAAAAAAAAAAAGCAAAACAACACGACGTTGTTCCAATTATTTTATTTGCACACCCGAATCTCTCTCCGTTCGATAAACGCAAACCTTAGGGCGCGCTTTTTCCCGGCTCTCCACCACAACACTATCCATCTCCGGCACCGGCGGCGCCTCCTCCTTTCTCTCTCTCTCTCTCTTTCTCTCTCTGTCTCTTATTTCCCCTTAACTTCATAGTGTTGTCTCTCTCTTCGTCTTTATACTCCTTCAATCGGTCTTAGCCATGAGCTTGGGAGCTTGCGCAGAGCTATCTCGGTGTGTTGCAGTAGCATCAGTGAAACCTAATTCTGGCAAGTGCAACGGCACCGCCATAATCAGCCACAGTTTACACAGTCCAATTACTAATTACAGTGGCGTATTATCAATATCGAGGTCGAGGGACAACAACAAGAACAGGGTGGTTGTGGGAGCTGGGAGCCAAGGTCTTACATACAGGGACGCCGGCGTTGACATCGATGCAGGGTCCGAGCTCGTTCGAAGAATAGCAAAGATGGCGCCTGGGATTGGAGGCTTTGGCGGTTTATTCCCACTTGGTACTTTTTCATCTTTGCTTGTTTTTCGTTCCGTCTTCTTTTGGATTTTGAATTTTTGATTCAACTTGTTTTGAGTAGGTGATTCTTACCTTGTTGCCGGTACGGATGGTGTGGGAACAAAGGTGATGCTTGCCTTTGAAACTGGTATTCATGACACTATTGGGATTGATCTGGTAAACTTTTTGGAAACTGATTTTTGATTTTGCGTCTGCGTTTCTGTTATAACATTGATTGGATTTGAAATTTTGAGTATTATTCTATTTAGGTTGCGATGAGCGTCAATGACATTGTTACTTCAGGGGCCAAGCCTTTGTTTTTCCTTGATTACTTTGCCACTGGCCACCTTGATGTGGATGTTGCTGAAAAGGTAATGGATACACGTTGTGTAGTTAGAGCTTATTCTTGTTTCTCTCCTCACTTTATTTCCTCTTCTTCAGGTTATAAAAGGCATTGTTGATGGTTGTGAGCAATCGGATTGCGTTCTTCTAGGAGGAGAGGTATTGTTATATTTTTTAGTTTATTTTATCACACTATCTAACTAGATATGCCCATTAGTCTTGCCAAGTTATAATCTGATCAATTCAGGTTAGACATTATTCTTATGCTTCTTGAAATTACACTCTTTTGTAGAAGTCAAGAGGTCTATATTTATAGACCTGCATGGCTTCTACAAAAGAGTGTAGAGAGAAATATGAATGAAATATTTTACTCATTTCTTTCTTGTCAATTTTTTATTATTTTACCAAGTAGTGTGATTTTCATATGGTCCGTGAACTTAATTATGTTATCATAGCATTCATTGCTAAAATATTTTTTTTCTAAAAAAATACACATTGCAACTCCGAGGTGGATGATTGTATATATGCTAGAAATGAAGATAAGATAAGATGAGGAATGCATGTATTTGAGAGAAGGTTGGAGTAGCACTTGAGGGGTGGTTTTGGGAAGACGATTAATGGAATAAATGCTTTATTGAGATCAGATTTAAGATTTAAGCAGGTAGAGGAAGTCCTAAGAAAATATCAGGAAAAAAGAGAAACTATAGAAAAATGTGTTGTTCTGAATGGTTATATTGAAAATTTTGTTTTTGATGTTGGCTTCTGGCAATGATTGATTCATGTAGCCAACCCTACCTATTGGGATAAGTCCTCTTCCTTTGATCATTGTTATTTTATGAGAGCTACCAATAATTTTTAAATGGTGTATGGATTCTTGAATATGGATTTTATTCAAATTGACATTTTATTCAGTTCACAGTAGATTGTTCCAATCTTGCATTCTTGCTGAATAGGTTAAGAACATAAAAATTATTGTAGCCAAACTCTATTGTGATAAATAAATACTTCTTCTCACACATATGCTCAACTGCCTGTAAACATCAACGTGGACAAAGAAATAATATGATTTTTATATTTTTCCTCCTGCATTTAGTTAATTTTGTATACTTTTCAGACTGCAGAGATGCCTGGTCTCTACAAAGAAGGAGAGTATGATCTTAGTGGCTGTGCAGTTGGCATTGTGAAGAAAGATTCTGTGATTGATGGGAAGAACATTATTGCTGGTGACGTTCTTATCGGTCTACCATCTAGTGGAGTTCACTCTAATGGTTTTTCACTCGTAAGAAGGTTGGTTTTGAGTATAGAATCCATCAGATTTTATAAAATTGTTTGTTACTGAGATACACTAATATATATTAACAGGGTGCTAGCTCAAAGTGATCTTTCATTGAAAGATCGACTCCCTGGCGGTGATATTACAGTTGCAGAAGCATTGATGGCCCCAACTTTTATATATGTGAAACAGGTCATTCATCACTCTTTTTAACAAAATTTACTTTTTTTTTTTGTTCCTTTTAAATTCCCTCTTTTGATCTGAAGACTCTTTTCTTCTCAAAATAGGTGCTTGACTTAGTTAGCAAGGGAGGGGTTAAAGGAATTGCCCATGTTACAGGTGGCGGTTTCACCGATAACATACCCCGAGTTTTTCCAGAAGGTCTCGGTGCTCTTATATACAAAGACTCATGGGAAGTGCCTACAGTTTTCAAATGGCTTCAGGAGGTAATACATCTTTATATCCCTAAAAAAACAATAATTTAGTGGGAAATAAATTATTTATAAATTTTTTCATTAACAAATATATATTTTAATTTGGTCTTCAATTTTTTTGGAGACAAAAATATATACTACTAAACTGATAACCTCTTACATTAGGCTGGGAAGATAGAAGACTCTGAGATGAGAAGGACCTTTAATATGGGCATAGGGATGGTCCTAGTAGTTAGTTCAGAGGCAGCTAATAGAATACTTGAGAACAGAGGCGAAATAAAGAAAGTCTACCGCATTGGTGAAGTTATATCCGGCAATGGAGTGACCTATACTTAATTTTTGGTTGAGTTTAATCATGTTGTATCTTTCTAATATTTTCATGGAAAATTTAACCTTGCGATTTTGTTGTTGGTTTATTAGAAGCCTAATGGCTTTCACTATTTTGAGGATGAACTTAGTAGTCTGAGTTGTTAGTTAAAATTATTTGAGTGATTTTTTTTTATTTTTTTTTGTAAAAGTAATTGAGGTTTCATGTATTTGCAAACTCATTATTCATACTAATAATTAAAAAATTAAAGACAAAATGAAAAAAAAGTAAAATTTTATTTTTACCAATGTGAAAATATTTTAGCATTCTTGTAATTATACATAAAAAGTATATCAACTAAAAATATAAATAAAATAAATCAAATTGAATGTTATTAAGTAAAAAAGATTTAAAATATTTTACGAACAAAAGGTGAATTTTCACATAAAATCTTTATTAATATTTAAAAATAATATATATAAATTATTTTAAAATAAATATAAATAATACTCATTAGCTAGTTTATATATATATAAACTTTTTAAGTCAAATTAAAAAGCTTGACATCAAATATTAACAGTTGATATCATGAGTCTAATGATTATAATTTATTGGGTCACATTTATTTATTAATTTTTAATAAAATTATAACTGTAAGATTAGCAAAAATCAACGGTTAAGATTTGACGTTAAACTTTTTAGGTTTGATATCGGTATAAAAGGATCATGTCCCATATATATATATATATATATATATATATATATATATATATATATATATATATATATATATATATAACAAGATCATTTAATACTGGCGTAAATTTTAAAATTTGACACTAAATCTTAATCGTTGATTTTTGTCAATTAATAGTTATTATTTATTGAGAATTAATAATTAATTAATAAATTTGATTTATGAAAATTATAACCATTGATTGAAGAAAATTATAATTAAGTATATATATATATATATATATATATATATATATATATATATATATACCCACACTATAAGAGGTGATCAGAGAAGGATAATTAAGTCAATCATCACGCACAACATAGACTCGTAATCTAATATAAACCAGAGCATGGTTTCTGTAACTGTTAGAGATCTTAAATTTTTTACTCTGCCTGCTAAAAAAATTAATAATAGTACTATAAGCTTCATTATGATTTGGTGTCTGGAAGGGTCGTACAATACTACAATATAAATGAGAATTTTACTTCACCTATTAGAGATATTAAACCATCCATTTTGCATGCTTAAAAAAAAAAAATCACAAGCTTCGTTATGATGATTTGGTACCTCGAAGGGTCATACAATTTAAAAAAAAAAAATACATATAATGATAATTTTATTTTTCACTAATTCATTTGTTAGGAGTCTAGTGAAAAATACATTACCTAGGTTTAGAAAGATTCACAAATATTAAAGATTCATTACCTTCTTTTAAGAAACTAGGTTTTTTTAAAAATACATTACATAAAAAAGAAAGATTCACAAAAATTCAAATTATCCATACATTTGCTTTTCACTTATTAAGGCCCGTTTGAATGATTTTTTTTTTTCTTTTAAGAAACTGTTTTTAAAAATAAAAATATTTTTCATTTCATGTATGATTCCACGTGACTTTTTGAAAAAAGTAAAAATCAAAACAGTTGTTTTCTATGTTTTTTTTGTTTTGAAAGTTAAAAGTCAAAACAGAAAACAAAAACAACTCACACATGTTTTCTAAATTTGATTTTTACCAAACAAGTTTTTTTGTTCTAAAAATTAAAATACTGTTTTTAAAAACAATAATAAAAAAGAGCTTATATACTTTCTTTTTTAGAAGTACATATTCTATTTTTTCTAAAGACAGAATATTATCTTTTGACTTGAAAAAACTTTTTATACATTAATCAAAGAGTTTATTTTTTTTTTTTCTATAATCAATGTAGATAATCTACAGCAAAATAGTTCCATCTTTTGAGTCTTTCTAAAAAAGGGTAAAGAATTTTTTTTCGGGGAGCCCAAAACAATATCATTTTGGGACAAAAATTAATGTCTTTTTGTAATTTTAATACATTGCAGGATTATATTAGTCTTTATCATTATAATTTTTTAATTCTATAATCTCAAAACGACATCATTTTGAGCTCACTGGAGATAATTTCATCTCCAGTTACTGGAGAAATACTTTTCCTTTAAGAAATTATTTATTTATTTTTAGATATTTTAATCGGTTCATCGTTTCACGATTAGTCCGATTTGGAGTTGCTCCCAAGTTTAAAGCTTTAAATTCCTCTAAAAAATAATACTGAAAAAAATTGAACACATTTTTTTATCTTCACCTGTTCAATTTCCTCACATCAAATAAGTTAACATGATTTGGTAAAATATATTTACTTTAATTGGATCCTAAACCCACCACACCACGCTGGAGGGAATAAGTTTTTTGATACGACAAACCTGCACTCGCACTCGAGTTACACAATAAGGCATCGGTTTTTTTTTTTTTTTTTGAGCCAATAGGGAAGTAGTTAATTGTCTTGCCCAATTATTTAGCAAATGCCAAAACAGACTAAAACACCACCTCGTTTATTTAAAAAAAAAGAAGCATTTTCCAATTATTTTTCTGAAAATATACATTATTAAATAATTCTACAAAGTTATTTCAAATTCTACGTTTTCTTTTTGTTGATCAGTACACAAATCTTTTCTTTACATTAGTGCTGATTTTAGCAAGAGAGGCGAAACCTATTTATGTTTCTGGTGTTACTTTGTTTTGTTCAATATTTTACATCTTAGTTGTCTGCAGATTTTAGTTTGTTTTATTTTTTATCTTTGACCATTATTAATATAAGGTTTAAAATTTTTATATTTTAAAAGATAAAATTATTTACTACACATTGTGGGACCCACGTGAGTTTATATGACTATGAGGAGAATAAAGAGAAAGAAAAAATTAAGCCTCATATATTTTTATGTTTGTAAAAATAATTTTATCTCTTATAATATGATAAACTTTAAAATTATTAATATAATAATATTAAGTATTTTAATATTAAAATAAAACTTAACTTAATATAATACCATTAATAGATTTTTGTACAAAACTTAAAGTATGTTAAGTTCTTAATTTTTTGTTATCAAAAAAAAAAAAAGTTCTTAATCTTTTAATTTATATTTTAAATTAATATTTAGACTTTATAAATATAATAATAGGTATTAAAAATTTATTTAATTAAGATGAAAGATTAATCACTTGAATAAAAATCTCATAAGCTATTAGTTTTATGATATTTCTTATTTTGCCTACATAGATAATGAATCTGATAAACTTTAGAAATGCACACGCCAATGCAATCAAACTACATCTAGGTTGAAAGGATTTTACAAACTTAGATAGCTGGCACCTTTTTATGTTTTATTATTATTATTAATTAGAATGTACGTACATATAAAAAATCAACAATTACTTATAAATAAATTATTTGATTGGATGTCCATAACCCCCTAGAGAAATTGATTATAATAGCTTTATTATTTGGCATGACTAGATGGACCATCTCGGATCAAATATGATGCAAAAAATTATTGAAAATTCATATAATCATGCATTGAAGAACCAGAAGAATTTTTAATTTATTAAATTTTCTTGGGCTGCTAGTTCTCAAGAGAAATTATCACTAACTAAAGTTGAGATTCACTCTCTTGCATTTTTAAAATGCATATAAGGTGAAATATATGGGCTCATTCACCCATCATGTGGACCTTTCAATTATTATATGAATTTAATAGATTATCTGCAAAAATGCCACATGTATGTTTATTATAAACTCACAACCAGTGGCGGAGCCAGCCCAAAAATTTAGGTGGTGCCAAAAAATTTGACATATTAAATTATCAAAATATTTATCATAATTATACAAATTTATCAGAGAAAAAATTTACTATGAATTCTAACATAGTTATCTAAATTATGTACTAAATAATATCACATGATATTGAAAATTCAAATGAACAATTATCGTTGATTATATATGAAAGCAAACATATAAAAATGCACTAACCTTTTCGGTAAACATTTCAAACATAAGAATTTCACTTTCCTCCTACAACATAATAAGTAATGAACAAAACATTATCCTAAGGTAAAATTTTTGTGATTTAGTTTAGAAATAGGTCAACTAATTATTTTTGTGATTAAGTTTAGAAGTCTTTTTTTAAAAAAAAATAATAGGAGTAAGAATAAATAACATAACTGATTAGAATAAAGTAAGAAAAAAAATAAATATACAGGATAAAAAATAAAAAAAAGGTAAAACACAAAAATAACCATACTATACATGTTCCTTATTATTTGTTTGCATTTAGATGTGTATTGAGTATTTGATTTTCTATTTAAGTGGTGTCAAATTATAATTTTTACCTTAATTAATTATAATTAATTATATAATAAGTAAAAAAAAATAAGCAAGTGCCAAGGCACCTGCTGGCTTGGCTATGGCTCCGCCATTACTCACAACTTAACATTTGTGAGATTATTTTATCAAATGATATTATTAAGAGCATAATTCATTGATCATATAATAAAGACGATTCGTTTTTATAATGCTGATGAGTTTACACATTAGGCTTTTAATAATTATTGCATCACAATCTAAAAGCATATTAGACGTGATTATACCCAAAATGGTTCAGTATAATTATTTATTAAATGTCTCCAATTAATAACTAGACTATTGCTTATGAGAACAAAGTTCTTTATTCTTCATAGGGATATGCTATTTGTAATGCTGGTGAGCTTACACATTAGGCTTTTTAATAATTATTGCATCACAATTGAACAACCTATTACTCTTGATCATGCCCGAAATGGTTTAGCAAAATTATTTATTAAATGTCTCAAATTAATAGCTAAATCATTGCTTACGAGAACAAAGTTCTTTGTTGTGTCATGGGGATATGTTATTTGTATGCAACATCAATTGTATGCATCAAGCCAACAAATTATCATAAATTGTCTCTATTACAATTGGCTTATGGTCAGGAGCCAAATATTTCCAATTTTATAATTTTTGGACACGCGATTAATGTTCCAATTACTCCACCACAATGCACAAAGATGAGTTCCCACTGAAAGTTAAAAATATATGTTGGATATGAATCTCCTATAATGTCTTGAAATAATGACTGGAGATTTAGTTAAATAATTATTTGCTTATTGTTATCCATCTTTC